AATGAAATAAGCGGAGAGTGAACGAAAAAGAACAACTGATTTGCAGCACATTGGACTGGGCATCTGGCTGAGTGGTAGAGAGGAATGAAAAGATGAAGAAAGTTAAGTACTGTAGGGGATAAAAAAATCATGCTGTTTAATTCCTGAATATGATACTCCTGTATATGATTGCTGAATGACCCTCATGTCGCTCTAAATGTGTATGACTGAGAATTTCTTCTGAGAAACAAAAAAGGTGGATTTTAAAAAATTATTTTGGCCACTTTTGTAACAATTTTTGTAACAACACTTTTTGGAACAATTAAAAAGCACCATAAAAGTGGTCCATACATGTCTTTTAAAGACATATATCTTTATACATGTATATAATATATTTGCCATTATTCAAGAAATTTTTGCCCTCCGTAGTTCTCAAATAAGTGTTCTATTGCTACTGTATGGTACAGCGATAGTATAATGCATCACAACATATTCCATTAGCAGTCTGTGTGAGTGACAACATTCATCAGCGAGACATTTATAAAGCACTGATAAATACTTTCATTAGGCCAAGCGAATTCTAGTCTCTGTTTTCTGCATGCATAATTATACCGAAAGTATTAGATATATTTGTACATTTAAACTATGGCACGAGCATGCCTTAATCACAGCACACATTCATTCCAATTCTCTCACTCTTGCCAACATTTGCATTAAAACAATTTGAATGGAAATGTGTGCTAGTAGAAAATGATGGAATTTAATCAAACAAACCTTTTGGGTATTTATATACATTATGAAGAACTTCAGGTGAGAAATAAGAGAGCGAAAGAGAGGAAGTGACCTTGACCAAGAGTAAAATAAAAAAAAATAAAAAATGGACTTAACAATGAACATGAAGAATCACCGGGGATCACAACCAAAGTGTGCTGTTAAAGGCCAATATACGTAACTGAGAGAGCAAACCATCCTTCTGGGATCGACAGACTGTGAGTGGATGGGTAAAGGACATATTTTAAGAAATAACATAATTCACCCAAAAAAGCTACCATTATTTACTCATCCTCATGTCATTCTTAACCTTTTTGTTATGTGGGATCAGAGCTGATCATCACTAAATGCAAAATACGCAATCTGTGTAGGGCCTCCGAAACTACTTTCTACGTAAAAATCAGTCAAATCATGTAATGTGAATGTCGTACAGTCAGAATCAGAATCAGAATCAGAATGAGCTTTATTGCCAGGTAATACACATACGATGAATTTGTTTTCGTGACAGAAGCTTCCACAGTGTAACAGAATGACAGTGACAGAACAAAAAACACAGAATAATAAAATATAAATAAAATAGAACAAGTAAAGAAGGAATAAAAATATATAAATCGACAATTGTATGTGCAGGTATATTACAATAGACAGTTTTTGTATGTACACGTACTGTATATTATGTGCAAATTTGAGGTGTAGACTGAGTATGAGTGTTAGATAAATAAATGTATGAGTGTATAAATAGTGTGTGTTCCACAGTTATTGTTAAGTGTTCATGAGATGGATTGCCTGAGGGAAGAAACTGTTCCTGTGTCTGGCCGTTCTGGTGCTCAGTGCTCTGTAGCGTCGACCAGATGGCAACAGTTCAAAGAGGGAGTGTGCTGGATGTGAGGGGTCCAGAGTGATTTTGCCAGCCCTTTTGCTCACTCTGGATAAGTACAGTTCTTGGAGAGAAGGGAGGGTTGTTTCAATGATTCACTCAGCAGTCCGGACTACCCTCTGAAATCTTCTGAGGTCAGATTTGGTAGCTGAGCTGAACCAGACAGTTATTGAAGTGCAGAGGATGGATTCAATGATGGCGGAGTAGAACTGTTTCAGCAGCTCCTGTGGCAGTCTTGCTCCAGACAAAAAAAAAAGTTGAAAGCTGCGGAAGAGACACTGTTTCTCAAGATGGAGTGAAACATGGACAGATGCGTTTCATTCATTCGTTCATAACCATCCCCAACCAACCCCCACCCCCACCCCCACCCCCGACACAGTTTTGCGTAGGGCCTAGGTCTAGGATCGGCACTGTGTGGGATACTAAAGAAGTTATACAAATTGTGCTAGTCACTCTTTTCCATGCAATCACAAAGTATGACTGAAGCTTTAAAAGACCACAAATGTGGTCCAAACAAGTATTCTGAAGCCATATTATAGGATTGTGTGAGGAACAAGTGACGTTTGAGTCTTTTACTATTCAGACTAAATCATAGAGTGAGTTAAACCCAAGAACCGAATCAGAACTCATGAGAGAACCATTCAAACTGATTTTGTGACCCAGCTCAACCAAATTCAAAATAATGATTTATTCACAAATCAGACACATCTCCTCAATGCATGAACGGATGAAGGAGAGTAAGGACAGAAGTCTAGATTTTGAGTGAATTAACTTTTCTTACATGAACTGCTTCTTACACAAAGCTATTGAATAGTCACATAGAGCAGTTTTTTATAAGGTCCTTTTTTAAAGAAACTTGAAAGCTTCAGTCCCCATTCATTGTATTTGCATGAAAAACACATCCTTTCGTGTTCCACAGGAGAAAGAAAGGTCATACACTTTCAGAAAGACATGAGGGTGAGTAAGTAATGACAGCTTTTTTTTTGGGGGGGGGGGTGACCAAAACTATTCCTTTAAGGTCACAAAAGAACTGTTGGCTTTAATAACAATGAATGCGCCAAGTAAATGCATTTATAAGAGTTTGCTGAATTAAGATGAAAAATAATACACTCCTGCAGGAGTAAACTATTACAACAAAGAAAAAAATTTGGTAATACTCATTAGAGTACAAAGAAAATAACAACGCGCCCTAATGTGATTGAAAATTGCTTTAGCCCTGCAGTGATGAGTAGTTGATTTATTCCTAACAGCAGTAAAGTCCAAAAGTCTTTAAACAGGAACAGTTTGTTCATCAGACCTTAAGTTATCCAATTTGCAAGTGAAAAATGTGGAGAGCCGGCATTTGCAGAAAGAACTGGCCATAAACCGGGTCATAAAAAATAAAAAGAAGAAGGAAACAAGACATTTCTCACTCTGTGCTCTTTGGAAATGTCACATTTTTGGAGGCGGTGTGAAGGAGGCTGGCTCTCCATACTGAACGCCACTGCTGTCCATTAATATGCAGCAAATAATTAACCCCAGCTTCCCTCACCTCTCGCATTCAGTTCACAACAGCACTTAAAAACATTCCACTGGAGCACCGGCTAACCACGACCCAGACAATGGAAGCATGTGGGTATGTTACCTAAATAGGCAAGGTAAGAGACCTACATGTGCACACACACACACACACACACACACACACACACATACACATTTTAAAAGAGTGTGCGATCTGAATAGGCATCTTTGAGTGTCTGTGCTCAAGTGCAGAAGAAGTTTCTAACCTGTTGGATCTCATGATGTTGACCCCAGATGTCAGCTGATCACTGTTTGCTGGAACGCGGCTTTGAGTCCCACTCTTCCCACCAGTCATCCTGTTCCCACGGTAACACAGCTTGCATGTTGACAGCAGGCAGTTGCCAGGCAACGAGGCTCTCGGCGAGCCTGTTATTAAAACATCCTCTTGCGTGAAAGGAAATAAACTTCACAATCGCAACAAGTCCGGATATGAGTTCCACCACTCACTCCATCACATGAATTATCCATGACTGTCTTTTTTCCATATTTATTCATTCATCCATGTTATTTTGTTCATATCGTTATTGCTGTCCTCACATCTTAAAATGTACAGTGAAGCTCTTGAAGCTTATTTTATACAGATCAAAAAAATAAATAATAATTTAAATGCGGGTCCCAAGTTCATACTATTTACTGCGTACTATTTGTATTAATGCTGGATAAAAAAAGAAAGAAAAATAATCCATTTGGTGACATGAAAATATCTATTGTAAAGTAAAAACTATAGTAAATATTTATTTGCTATGTACTGTTTAGATTAAAGGGCACCTATTATGCAAAATTCACTTTTACATGTTGTTTGAACATAAATGTGTGTTGGAAGTTTGTGTAAACAACCACCCTATAATGATAAAAATACGCCCACTCCTTTATTTAATCCCCATAAATCATAAGCAGTGTCTCAGAACAAGCCATTTGCACAATCGGTACAATGCGACGTCACATTTTGCAAGCCCTGTCCATGACTGTTGACGGACACTACAGTATTAGCAGAGACACCCAGCCACACACAATCCACCATGCTTATTGTCACGCTAAAGCATTTAAAAGCAGCATTCAACTGAGAAATGTCTTGTTAGAGCTACAGAAATTATTCATTCAAGAGCAGTGAGTGAATTTCATATTATCAGCGGAGACAACAGTAGGTACTGTATAATATGCTGCAGTCACTTAATACACAGATCTAATATAAACATGTGATTTATTTTCCAGCTGCTTACCTTCACAGACATACTGCCTGTGTTTTTTGTAACTTATGTGTGTTTTTAACATAAACGTGTGTCTATTTGACAGTTTAAGCGCAATAAGACATGAAAGAGAACTTAGTTTAGTACTCACATGCCATGTGACAGGAGCTTTCTGTGTTCATGCTTTGGATGTGTGCACTCAGAAAACAGCCTGTTTTAAGCTTCCACTCAACATAGGCATTTTCAAAATGATATAATAAATGATCTGTGGGGTATTTTGAGATGAAACTTCACAGACACATTCTGGGGACACCTGAGACTTATATTACATCTTGTAAAAAGGGGCATAATAGGTGCCCTTTAATGTTGGTTTCATGTAGTTTTGAAAAAATATATATATTTTCAGAAAAAGATTCAATTTAGTGACATGAAATATAGCTATCAAGTAAAAGGTACATATACAGTCAAATCAAAATTTATTTAGACACCTTCATCATTTCTCACATTATCACAGTTTGTTTGCTATAGTTGAGAAAATGTTATTAAAATATGACAAGAACACAGAGTTAAACTGTGTCAGAACAAATTGATCTTGATAATGCCATCCTTCTGTTAGACTGTCTCACAAATGAATTAGGTTGAAGAGCTGCCAGCTGTCATCTGTTAAATTTATGTACACAATTAGATAATACCAATTTAGGTCAACCAGTGGTGTAAAAAGGTCGTATTAGCAATTAAAGAAGAAAAAAAAACAACACTTAAGCAAAACATGGTCAGGTCAAAATGTCTGAATAATTTTTGGTCGAAAATGTTTATCCATTTTACTGGTAGTCCACTATATGAAGCATTTTTGGAAATAATAGGTCACAGTATACCTGTACTATATTTTGGTATCCTCACTTACATAAATTAACTATAGTGTCATGCACCCACTAGTAAAAAAAAAAAATATTATAAAATGATATCTGGTGTCTGAATAATTTTTGGTTTGACTGTATAATTATAGATCATATTTGTATTATTAAATAACATTAATATTATTAATAATTTTTGGTGAGTCACACATGATATTTTGCAAAGTGAATTGAAATTTTTGTATTTATTTCCTAAGAATAAAATATGCTAAACTACTTTTTTTTTTTTTTACTTCATGCCATCCATCAAAAATAAATGGTAGCCTAATACAGAAAATAAAAACATGCTCATGATAAAAGAGGTGCATTCAAGTCAACAAATCATTATCATGTCATTGACCCATGCTGTTTCCCTCAAAGTCGCTTGTCAACTTCATTAGTCACCACCCTGAAACATGACAGACTGTTTTATAAGACACCTGAAAGTTTGGTATCTAAGTGCCATATCACTCTCAAATATGAGGGAAAGTTCAGCAATACCTAGGTATCATCTCTCTTATGCCACGTGATTTTAGGAGGCACCGGAAAGTGCTTAACAAGCTGCAACAGGTTAAGTCATGACTCTGTGGATGGACCAACACTGCAGCTTGTATACCACCTATACGTTGTTCAGTGCACCCAATTTAAAAAAAATATATATAAGGAGAAACATCAAAGTGTTCCTCTTCCTTCCTTTAATCTGCTTTGGATGAACTAGGAGATATGGTCAAGCCACGGTAAACACCCCATCCTCAAAGCACTGGCTGAAATAACCAATGAAAAACAAACAAATGCATAAAAACAGCTTATGTTTGCTTTGAGTGGACTTTGATTACAGGTCACTTTAAGAGTCTTTGAAGTCTCATGAGACTTACCTGTTTCATATTAGACATCAAGCTTTATCAGCTCCTACATTTCTCACAGCAAGGCCACATGATACAAACATGATATTTATATATCTATTTTTCATTGTATGTCACTGGTTCTTTGAAAAATTATCTGAAACACTTGTATGTAAAGACTCAGTATTTAATCTATCTATGTGTATCTTTCTCTCTCTTTCCCTCTCCCTCCACTCTAGTATCCTTATAGGGAAGGTGGGAACTTAATGAAATGTGGATGATCGACTCCAACACATTTATCATTGACTTTGACTCCAGTTCATAGAGTCATGAATAATTTATTGTGTATGAAAGAGAGTTTAGAACCTCGCTGAGGGTTTACGTTTCTTTCTTTTTTTCTTCTTCTTTTTGTGTCTGCAATATATTCCTCCTTGAAGCTTTCCTGGAATTCAGATTAAGCCAGGCCACAGTTGTGGTGCTTAGTGGCAACTCCATCTTCAGAGTGTTCTGTGTTTGCAAACAGATTCCCGTTAATCGGCTATGGATTTCTCCCTCAGGAAGGGGCGGGGAATTGGCGGAGGCGTTGGCACAAACACTCAAGGGTGCCTTGTCCACTTCTCCAAGGGAATTATGAGCACGGGGAAGATAATAAAGACTTTTGTCAAGAGTCATAGTAGGCATAAGTCCCCTGCTACTCAACCAGCCTCAGACCTGGACTTCACTGACCCTGAGGTTTGGTTTGTTAGATTAGTGTGAAAAAACATTTTCTGAACTCATAAATGAACCACACTTGAGTCTGTAAAGTATGTCATGAAAATATGACAAAAGCAGTTTTGTGCTTCGTGGTGTACCATGTGTAAAAGCATACCAACTGAGAATGTATGAAGACTAGAGATTAAAATGTCTGTAAGGAATTTTAGTCTGTCTGTTCTTGTCGTGAAGTGGGGGAAGTCAATTTACGAGGAGCTTGTGACTGTAGTTACTATCGTGTGATAGTCATGCGGTCATCTCTTTTGACCATTATTCTTGATAACTTGCCCCAAAATTTTACAATCTCCTTGGACTTGTCAATGTGTTCTTTTGTGTTAATGTTGAAAACTGTTCTGTGACAGGGGCTTAGGTTTAGGCTTGCTTCAGAGAGGCTAGGGTCTGATTTATGACATCCTGTTGTCTTGGGCCTCTGTGGAATTTTTGTGACTCCTCGTGCCTCAACTCGGTTTTGACCAAATCTTAGATTGTCTGATTCGGTCTGATATCCTACAGACAGGACAAAGGAAAACCTTCAATTTCAAGGGTTCAAACTCTAGCTAGAAAACCTACATAAGGGAAAACAACATAAAGCTTACATCGATATCTAGAACAGACAGGGGCAAGTTGTCACATGGGTTGTTTCTCAGTAACCAAGTAAGAAGTCTAATTGCACACACTTGAAATGACATGCATGGTACATACAGTGCACACATGAAGATATATTTAAACTGGAAGGTTGAACTTTGGAACAGGGTGTTTTTCCATGTACATTGGGGCAAGTACATGTATGTGTGTATTTAGACACACATACATGTATTTAGAATTTCTATTGGTTGAAACAATGACTTGATGTTTGATTTAAAAATTAAATTATAATAAATGATCTTGATTGTTTGGGGTCACATTATGTTTTTGAAAAGTCTCTTATGTTCACCAAGACTGTATTTATTTGATAAAAAATTCAGTAAAAATACTAATATTGTGAAATATTCTTATTTATATTATATTTATTTCTATTTTAATGTTTTAAAATGTCATTTATTCCTGTAATAACAAAGCTACATTTTCATTCAAGCCAAATCATTCAGATTCAAGCAACATTTCTTCATATTATTATTATTATTATTTTAATAATTTTTTTAAAGGTTGTGCTGTTTAATATTTTTGTGCAAACTGTCATACCTTTCAGCATTCATGATTATTAATGTCTTTACTGTCCCTTTTGAACAATTTAATGCATCATTGCTGAATAAAAGTAATAGTTTCATTCAAATAAACAAACAATAATTCCTACGGACCACACATTTTTGAATGGTAGTGTACATATGACAACTTATATATAAGTCCATATAGCATGAAACGGTGCTGTATGTCTTGCTATTGGGGCATGTTGTCAGAGAGGGCGTATTCAATTGTTTTTTTTTTCTGGACAATAATGATGGAAATATTAAGTGCCTATAAAGAAATGGACAAAAATAAAGAGAAGAGAAGTGCTCACAACACTAAAAAGTTCCCAAGTATCGCCTTCATATATGTCTGAATTTGTTTTCAGTACTGAATATGGCACGTTTCTACAATGTTCTGAGACAAGAATTTTAGTAAAGTCTATCTAGGTACATTTTAATTTCTGTAACTCCCTTTTGGGGATCCAAAGGTAAGTATATTACACAATTCACAGGCACAGGCCCACAGGTGCAAACTGGGATTAAGTACCTTGCCCAAGGGCACAGAGGTTACAGGAAGACCTTTCAAGCATAGTAACTTTCCAGTTTCTAAATCACTCCTACTTGAAATTGAACCCGCAACCTTTTAGCTAACAGGCCAGATTTGTAGCCATTGAGCCACCACCAGTTGTCAAACTCCCTCATCAGTCCTCGCTCTAATTACACTAGATCATCAGACAGTGAGGTTATGACATAAATCATGACAGCTCGTGAGGACATTAAGGATGCCGTCTTTGATTAATTTATCATGTGGAGACACACACGAGCACTTGCACACACACACACACACACACACACACACGCACACACATATTCGTAGTTTACAATGGATGGCAGCAGCTTTGAGATCAGAAATATGGGTCTCTACCCTGAAGACGGTTTTGATCCCTGTATTAGTGGGGTGCAAGTAGGTCAAACCATCTCGCAATACCCATGACAGTGTGACAGTAAAAATCTGTTTTCTGAAAGCATGGGACTTATATAGCATTACACCTGGGGCCATCCGCCTCTTCGCCTGAAAACAGACTTTGAAAGAGGAAATGTTCCTTCAATGTATTGTCACATTAAGCACTTGTGGCTTTTACCTGCTCTCTCTCTCTCTCTCTGCATGTCTGTTTTTTTTCCTGTGCTTTCCACAGCACAGTGGGTGGGGTAATATTAAAGACTATCAGCGATTCTCCCCATTGAAGGGAAAGGAAACTAAACAAAAGAATAAAACAAAAACACGGAGGAAATCAATTATATTTCAGCTGCGGCTGCTGTCTCAAGCCCCGGAGACCGGCGCAGTCAACAGCAAACTTTATTCATTAATGCAAAATTTAATCAGAGACTCCCTCCCCTGAAAACACCAAATCAAAGCAATTCATTATGTGTAAATAAAATATACGGATAGTCTTAAAGGCTCTATTATGTTTTAATTTCACCAGTCATGATAAACGTCCCAAATGAGATGTTATGAGTGTAGAACGTAGTTCGTAAACAATTAGACTCCATCCCAAAGGAACGAGAACAATCTTACGCCATGGAGCCCAGTTGAAAGAGGCCGACCTACGCATCTCCTGCTCTCTCAACCCCTTATTAAAGCTATTATCATCTGTTTGATTGTTTCATACGCTGGGACATTACCGAGAGACTCCTTAGAGTTTCTCATTTCGTGAAAAAAAAGAAGTCTTTATCTGAGAAGCAGACATGCAGTAAGCAAAGACTAGGCAAAGTATAAGGAGAAAGGAGAATACAATTACACAAACATTCCAACTTAAAGGCATAATATGTAAGATTTTTTAATTAAAATATCCAAAAACCACTAGAACAGTTTTATATATTTTGCTGACTTGTGTACTTACATTATCCCAAATGTTTAAAAAAAATGTTTAAATCCAGAGAAATAAGCAATTTTAACCGTGTCTATAGTGTCATTGTGTCGCCTGC